GCAGAGAAGACCGTGAGGCGGCTCCGGCCACCCCCACCGCCGCAGAGACGCCGCGGGAAAGGTGCCGCCCTTCGTCTTCATTCTTAATGCAGGAGGAACCAACTCAAGCTAGTCATACATCATCCATATTTTAGTGGGGTGGGGGGCCGCCCCGCACCGCGGCATCCCCCCCCAACATCGGGTTAAGACTGAAAAGTTGATGGGGGGGGGGGGGGGGTTCTGCGGTCGTAACAAAGCCCGCGAGCTCCCACGACAAACATGGAGCAGCTTTCATCGCAAGCAAGCCAATGTGATGCCACTTGAACATCTACATCTCTATCTTGTATGCATATCTATCTTTAGGCGTCAATCCCACCTATTGCTTCTTGCCACTGCACACAACACACCCCGGAAAAAATAGCCCTCTCGCGAACCCCAAGGCCACAGGTGGGTACGCAAACACAGCCAGCAACGCCTCAAAGTTCTTGGGGGCGAGAAAGCCGGCGTATGGTCCTACATGTCCCAGCTAGCGTGCTCCACACGATTGATTCGTCCAACCTCCAACCCATGATCTCGACCGCCAAAACACAAGTGCACACGGCAGATACCAACCAAAGAGAGTCTCGACTCGGCAAAACCCGGAGCAGCAACAACAGCAACATGAACCGTTGGCGCAGCCTTTAGCCTAGTCGTCGTATATGCTCTCGTCCATGAGCTCCATGAGGTTTGAGTCAGCCCGCACTTGGTCCAGGTCGACCGAAGCCTTCGTACCTTGCCGGGCAAGCCTCTCCGCCTGTACACGCATTGCACATTTGTATGCAGAGCAAGTACAGTACAAGGGGCCACGAAACCGTCAATCTCAAACACGAACAGACCCAGTTCAACCATTTTTTTTCGTGTCGTGTCAGGCGCAACCGCGACTGGTGTGGAGGGGGTGCCCCACCTGCGCAACCATCGGGGTTGGGTTTTGGATGCCAAGCCAACGAGAGTTTTGGAAACAACCATATCGTGTTGGTGTGTTGAACAGCAGTGCAAGATAACACATGGCCAAAAACAGAGCCACATATCGCGGCATTTGTTTTACTTTGTCAGTCCTACTGTACCGGGTCCATGACGGGTGTGCCCGCAAGCAAGTCGACTCCGTGATAATTCCACATCGCAGCGAAAGCATAGATCTACACCGAATTCTTGGATGACACTACTATTGCTGTACTCTCTGTCACATTTAGTTCTGTAGTGCCCCACTTTTCGAGCTCCTCCAGAACGGCAGCCAACTTGTATTACGTCTGTTGCATGTGTCTCATCGCGACACCAATGCGAACAAAGGGAATCGTCCTCTGCGGAATTTGTACCCCTATGAAGGGGATCTGCACACACAAACCACCACTACACTTGTCACTTGTCTATTTTTTAGGGAGCATGTCGTGGCCATTGCTTGCCTTCGACCATACTGCCGTACGCTACACACCGTTCACTCAGGCCTGCTAGACCAATTTCTGCTGTGCTGCTGTACAGTACCTCTTTCTTTTCTTCCAGCTCTTTCTTCTCGCGGTTGACCTTCTCCAGTGCCGCTGCCTCAATCCTCGCCTTCTCCGCGGCACGCTCGCGGCTGAGCCTCAGGCCCTCCTCCACTCTCTCCTTCTCCCTCTGGGCCTGCTGCCTCAACCGCTGCTCCTCTAGCGCCTACGACCCCAATCGGACACGGGGAAACGGTAACGCAAGGGACCGAGAAACTCAACGGCTAGACACGAGAAGTAAAATTAAAAAAAAGCAATAAAGCGCATGTCCTGCTTCGACACACGGGAATGAACTCAAAGAGAGAGAGAGAGAGAGAGAGAGAGAGAGAGAGAGAACGGACGCCGTGAGGCAGGAAACCAAACACTCATGCCCATGAGGATGGTGCCAAAACAAATACTTAGCGGGCAACGAACGCCGCCGCTTTCGAAACTGTATCCGTCCTCGACAATGATTTTACCACCTTCTGTTGTCGTGGCCACCTTGATTTTCTCCCTCTCCTCAATCCCATACCCCTATCTCAACTCGCTCTCAGCTCCGACCTCTCTGCCCCTCCCTCTCCGACTCCATGTGCCTACAACTACCCCAACTTGTCTCAGCTCTGATCTTCTCTCCCTCTTCCTCCTAAACTCGCTCTCAGCTCCGATCTCTCGGTGCCTCCCTCTCCGACCCCATGTCCCTACAACTACCCCACCTCGTCCCAGCTCTGAAATTCCCTCTCTCTCCTCCCTCTTACAGTGCCCCTACCCCACCTTCTCAGTCTCAGCTCTGGCTTTCTCTCTCTCCTCCCTCTCCTTCCTCTCCGCCTGAGCCTGCAGCCACTGCTCGTCCCTCTTGCCGGTCTTGCTTCCGTCGCCGGAACCCCCCCCCTCCCCCCCGCTACCGGGACCACCCGCGGCGCCCCCTGCACTCTGCTCCTCGTCATCCTCGTCGTCTTCGTCCTCGTCTAGGTCGATGTCGATCTCAGAGTCCTGTTGACAACGCGTTACTGCTGTTGTTGGTGTTTTTGTCTTCATGCATCGAAGTCGTTGTGACCCTCCCTGTACCCATATCCCCTTTCCTTACATGTACCTACATATATTTGGTGCCTTCGTGTCTTCATGCATCAAGAATCGTTCTGAACCTCTCTGTATTTCATGTCCTCTTCTCTCTTTTCCCTGCCTCCTCTTCAAAGGCAAAGGCACGAACGCGGAATATTATAGGAATTTTCGTGGCGACAAGCTACCCCGGAATCAGCCACAACAGAAGGAAAATCAAGACTCAGTGAAGGTCCAAGCACCAAACACCGTAAGAGGCGGAGATAGAGAGAGAGATCGCACCCCGCTTAGACCAATTTCAAAGCTCTATTGCTCCACAGCCAAGACTGTCTATACCGCACCGTATACCGTACGTTGGTATTCCGTAAGAGTCGGAGAGGTGGCACCCCCGTTAGACCGATTTCAAAGCTCGATCGCTCTGCAACCAAGTGTGTGCGGGAAGAGCCCGATACGTCTACGGAAAGCTCCACATGAGATGTCTCCAAAACCACCGTTTTTGGCGTTGGCACATTCTTGGTTGTGGCAATCGAGCTTTGAAAATCGCTCTAGGGGGGGTGCCATCTCTCCTCCTCTTACGGAACACCACGGTACGGTATACGGTACGGTACAGACAATCTTGGTTGTGGAGCAATCGAGCTTTGAAAATCGCTCTAGGGAGGGTGCCATCTCCACCTCTCACCGTAGCAAAGGAAGCTGGTTGCCAAAATAACACAACAAAACACACCAGAGACATTTACAAAATAGGCAAAGGTGCCCACACCAAGAAAAAACGCACGTGCAGCCATATCTTCAACGTTGCCATGGCATCAATAGCAACATTTGCTTGAGGTTGAAGCACCACCACACCACCACCGTGTTGTCGGGGATTACGGGTTACGTCAGAGGTATGATAGGGCGCGGAATAAATCGGACTGAACGACATCGACTGCAGAGTCGTGGTTCGACTGTTTCGACTTCCAAACACGACAACGACAGAAAAAGCATCGACAGATGTCATGGATCGACCAACATGGACTCCAGACCCTAGTGTCGACTCCCAACCAGCACAAGAGCAAGAGCATCGTGACAGATATCGGGTGGACTCATCCTTATCACCTGTTTCGACTCCCAACAATGTAAGACAACAACAGCAATGGCATCGCAAAAACAACAATCGCTCGCCTTGAGGGTAGAAGCCGTGGCCTCGAGGGTGAGGCTGGAGCTGTCCACTCGCGAGAAGGGGTCACCTCCACCACCGACGGGCAGGGCGGGTGCCTCTGCCTTGGGCTTCTGCTCGCCTTCCCCCGATACATCGCGCGTAGCCCCCTGCGTGACGACAGGAGCCAACGCAACAAGAAGAGTGAATTATGTCTCGAACGGGGACTCTTTCTTTCATTGAATGACCTAAGGTACTGCATGTTTCCTGAGAAAAGATGAGGTCAGCGGGGCTGCAGGACACGCAAGGTCAGCAGTGAAATGAGACGCATCATGCCAGTACAAGGTCAGCAGTGACATGTGAAGCATGACACAAGAAAGGTCAGCGGTCAAATAACTACCTGTAGCGCATACGAGGTAAGCAGTGAAGCAGTGATTTAAGACACGCAAGGTCAGCAGCGCAACAGGACATATGCAAACACGGTCAGCGGTGTAACAGCTACGAGTTCGGCACAATAGTATGACATGCAAAGTCAGAAGTGAAAGAGAACATACAAGGTCAGCGGTGTAACAAGTCAAGGGCCCCGAGAAAACGGAAAAACAGTGTGGACGGGCGTGTGTTGGACACAGCAGCAGTACACAGCAGCAGTGGTTGGAAATCCTACCGTGTTGGTACCGCCGCTAACTAGCTCAACGCACCTTCGAGCCCGGCGAAGTGATCGATCCGGTGCGACTTCTCTTGGCGGGGGACAGGCCATCCTCGTCCTCGTCATCCTCATCCTGCTCTTCGAGGTCGTCATTCTCAGAATCTGATCATTATTTTTTCACAATGTACGACCACGTTTCACAATGTAAGACGATTTTTCACGACATGAGACATCCGGTGTTCCGATCCAGGCCAATCACATCCCACCGGGTAGAGCGCAAAAATGAGTCCACAAGAATTGAGGGAGGGTGCGTGGATGAAAAAATTGACACCAAGAACCGGATGTTTGTGCGTCGGACATCACGTAGCCAGCAAATCGGCTAGGGGTGGGCAAGATTGGGAGGAGAAAGGGCGGTTGGTACACTCTTAAGAGTTTGCCATGATATCGAGGCTATTCGTTGGCCGACCGATTTCGAATGCGCGTCAGCAACAGCAGCAGCAGCAGCAGCAGCAGCAAGAAACGCATCACCTGTGCCACTGGCGTTGTGTGGCACCCTTCCAAGCAGGAGAGCACCCCTGCCAACGATAAACGAAACAAAGCCACTTCTAGCACGAGGGACACAGCCCCATCAAGACAACACGCAAAAACAAGAGCAGCAGCAGCAGCAGCAACAACTGCTACAATGGCAACAACCTCATCAAGAGCAACCAACACACACAAAAAATACGGCCGGTAAACTCTCTCGCTCACCGCTGACGTCATCGGTCCTCGGACGCTTTCCCGGGCGGCTTGGCGGAACGGCGCCGGCCCTGTCACTCCCATCACCGCTAAGACAACAAACAACAAACAGCAGCGGCAGCAGCAGCAGCAGCAGCAGCAGCAGCAGCAGCAGCAACGCAACAGCAGCAGGTGAGCTATACTTCGTGCCTCTTCAACCGTATTGTTTCGAAGGAGCTGCCGTGAACTGCTCGCTACAAAATCGTACGGGCATGTGTTGCGCTGGTACCGGAAGGATTTCCAGCTTGACACCAATAAAGGAAAGAAAAAAAAGAGAATACTGAGGCGAAATCCTACAAAATAACAGGGAAGGGACTGCTCGACTATGTCGCCTCAAAAACTGAAGGCATGGCGGGGGGTGGCAACAACAACAACAATAACAACAACAACAACAACAACAACAACAACAACAACAACAACAACAACAACAACAACAACAACAACAACAACAACAACAACAACAACAACAACAACGACAACATCAAGGACGTCCCTGTGTAACCCCGCCTGGTTATGAGTCCTGTATGGACCAACAACGGGTTGGATGTTGGTACTGTAAGGCTCGATGGAGCATTACGGTGTTTGGCAGGTGCTCTTAGGTACCGTGCACATCGTGGGGCTTACTGTAGCAATTGCTCTTTCGTACACAACACACCGTGGGTGTTTAGCAGGTGCCCTCAAGCACAGTACCCCACACGGCATAGGTGGGACGAAGACACGAGCACTGCCACACATAGTATACCTTGTCCTGGTTCCCTCGTCCTTGACCTTGCTCTTGCCAGCAGCTGTTGACGATGCCGCCAGATCTGATGATGCCGTCGTTGTTGATGATGGCGCCGGGGGCGGGTCGTTCAAGCTGTCCGCTAAGAAAAACGTCACGATATCTCGAAGCTGCCGTTGCCGAACATGATTCAAGGCGTCCATCTGCAAAAATGAGGGGTAAACGGGCACGGTACCAAGCCGGCAGTGGGTGTCACCATGCCACACCATAGTTGCATATGCATAGCAGACACTGCAACAAAATTCAAAGCCGTGCCAGAAAATGAGTCACAATACCACGGTACACTAGGCGACATAAATGACGGTGGCAACCAGCTTGTGGACTGTTGTACCTTCATGTTTACCGAGTGACCAAAAAGTTAACGTCAAGAGTAGAACCATTGCCTGTACCAGTACCTCACGCTTTACAAGTCTTCATTCTTAGAACCTTTCGGGGCAACGTTTTTGGGCATGCTCAGATTCGTCATGTGGGGCGTAAAAAGAGCACCAGCGACACATCACGCGAGGCACAATATCAGGCGGCGATCATACGAACGAATGCACCGCTGTTGCGGCCCGACCGTTCTCCTGGAATACCTACTCATACGCTAGAGTGTATTCCACATGTACTAAGGAAACTACCTAGAGCAAGTTGACACGAAAAGGGGATGAACTTCACAACACTTCACCTTGATCTGCTCTCCCTTCCCGCCATCGATGGTAACTCGATCCTTGTCCAGCACGTAGGCTTTGGCAAAGGTGTACAGCGCATAAACCCTTGCCTGCGCTTTCTCGTTGAGGGGGTTGGCATTCCCAACCTGAACAAAATAACATCAGCGTGCAGACGAACGTCAACAAAACAAAGCGCATACGCCAAATCAGGAACAAAAAAAAGAACAAAAAAAAGAAACATGATTCCTATTCAACGGGTCGGAGTTTGCTACTTGCAAAAGAAGAGAAAAAAAAGAGAAAAAAAAAAGCAGAAAATAAACTAACTTGCCTAGGAAAATCCAGCCATCCTTACAATCAACGGATCAGCATTACCCACAGCAAATGAACATAAATTGCCGGTCGTAGATGTACGGAAGACGCTCTGAACGAGCTCGACGTATTTTGAGTTGTGCTTGCAAAGGGAAGAGCACGAGTGTCACCAAGCGCGGCGCAGCAAATACGCTTCGGCATCGCCTCCGCGTCCTCGGGGAAGGGGCACGCCTCTACACGAAGCTACAAGCTGCCTGTCCTTGCGCTAATGTCGTGCTCGGCCCAGCACCGGCAGCATCATCGACAACAACAGCAACAGCAACAGCACTAGCACTAGCACTAGCAACAATGGCAACAGCAGCACCAGCGACCGCAACAACAGTTAGCGACACCAATTGCAAACATCAACAGCAACTATAGCAGCAGCAACAATGGCAACAGCAACCACGACTACTTACACCACGTCGACCACAACACACCACCACCATCACCGCTGCCAACAACACACACCAGGCACGGCATACATACATACATACATACATACACACACACACCCGGAATAGCTCCTCGACATCCTTCGCTAGCTGCTCCTGCTCCTCCGCCGTCAGCACCGCCACAGCGGGATCCTTCACGGCAGCGGCAGTAACAGCAGTAACAGCAGTAGTAGCAGCAGTAGCAGCAGCGGCTTGAGGGACGTTTGCCCGCTTGCCCATCGCGACGGCGCCGGCAGAGCTGGGAAGCGCGATCGATGGTGACGAAACGGGGGACTTGCTTACCCCCGAAGAGGAGGTAGGGGCTGAAGCATCCAACCTGATGACCGCCAGAAGAAATATGGGGAACAGGGAGGGGATCAAGCCTCTTGCACGCACGTCACTGCATGCACCCCCCGACGCGGACTGTACAAACGCATGACGTAGTGGGTAGACCATTGACCTCTCACCCCTACAATGCTCGGGGAGAAAGGGGGGGTATACTCGTACAAACGCATGCCGTAGTAGGTAGACCATTGACTTCGCATCCCTACAATGCCGGGACGGAACAATATGCCGGGCTTTCGCCTGCCCAGGCTACGTCTTGTGCCTTTCGCTTCGCGTGAACAGCTGCTTGTTAGCCACCACCACCAACAACAAACGCATGCAAGCGCACAAATCACACTCCTCTACATCGACGTCGACAGCGAGAGAGTGGCAGTACAATAGTGCTTACCCGAGAACGCCCCGGTGGCCCGACACGAAAGCCTCGAACTTTCCCGAGAGGGATGCGGCGAGGGCGTGCACGGGGTCCGTGTCCGGGTTGAAGTCCTTCGCGTTGGAGAACACCAGCCGCACGTCCGCGATGCAGTCTCTGGCGGTCCTGCAAAACCAAACACAATATAACCGACGAGGGAGAGTGAGGGAACTCAAAGAGCTGTATGATGATCTGCAAGACCAACAACAAAACTAAAAAAAACGAGTAGCGCTGTAAGACGAATCTAAGACGAATCTCAGATGAATCTAAGATGAATCTAAGATGAATCTAAGATGATTTGAGATGAGAACCGCGGAGACTCCACACGCCGCTCTTTATGTATCGAAGCGTACTTCACCTTTACCAACGGATGACCAAGAGAAAGAGACACGATTTATTTCTCTACCTGTAGCTTACCTGTACTTGGAGTCGATCCTTTTCATGACAGTGCCGAGGTCCATGGGGCTCTTGATGACGTCAGCGTACATCCCTCTCAGACCACGAAAGTTCGGGGGCACCGGGTACTGAAAGACGTTGTTCTTATCGCTCTTTTTCAGCATCATGAGGCAGTCCTTCAGGGTCCTGACGTGGGGACCGGGGAGCCCGTTCTTGCTGGCCCTGCGTGGGGGGCGACGCAAATTGGAGGGGGGGGGGGGTCACATCGGGAGGGAGGAGAACGGCCGTTGAGTCAGCAAAGCCGTGGGTGGAGAGTGTTACGGGCACCCGATTCGCAGGGTATCCGTCCATTGACTTTTACCAGAATTGGTACTGCTGTGGGCGTGACGGCAAGGTTTTCGGATTCAACATTCACACATTCAGAGAAACATGAAACAAAAAAAAGCAAAATGACGGGCAACAATCGAGGGGCCAATCGGCGGAACGCCGGAGGAACATTTATTCAGCATCAAGTATTCAGCACGGCTTAATATGCACACGGTTCGTGGCGAGGGAGGCTCACACGTCTATGTCACACACACGAGACGCCGAAACTCACGCAAAACCACACAGAACAGCACCGGCAGCAGCAAAGGAAGCAGCGGCCACCGAAGCGGCAGCAGCAAAAACACAAAAACAGCAGAGAAAGACTGTAACATCCACCACCACCAAAAAAATCACACCCATTAAATCAACGGCAAGAACCGCAGGAGGGGGCCTCAGGGGGAGCAACCCTTCAATGTGACCATGAAATGGAGCTCCCATGCAGCAGAAATGCTGTGCGTGTGACCTCTGATCTCAAGCGATCGAAAACACACACTGATTGTCGCCTTTAGAAGCATTTTGCGTTTCAACCGCACTGAGACTGACGACTTTTCATTTGTCATCTGGTTAGCGACGCCGATGCCAACAAGAAACACGCGCACACACACACCGAAGACTGACGTCCTTTCATTGGTCAGACGATTAGCGCGGTCGGTGCCAGTAAGGAACACGAGCATACATACACACACTCACGGCGGTGGCGGCAGCGGCTTCTTCTGGGCCTTCTTCTTCGCGCTGCCGGACGGCTTGGGCCGCGCGCCCCCCAACGAGACCCCCCCCCTGGAGGAACCACCCAGCGGTCGCGCAATGGGGGGAGGGGGCGGGGGAGACACCGCACGAGCGTTCGCAGGTCGGGGCAGCGGCGGCGGTGTCTCGTTTGGGTCCGGCTGGAGAGTGGTTCCCGGGAGCATCTGCGTGCGTACCATTGGTATTTCAAGGCGGGACGTCAACGGTGCGAGGAAGGGGGCGTCAGTGGGAAACGGCGACGCGGAGGGGGGGGGGGGGGGGGGGGGGG